TTTCTGGTAAAGGCTATGGACTCTTTCTCAGAATGCTGAATTATGGAATGCATGGAATTACAAAAGAAACCAATTATATTTGACAGTTATTAAAATATTTTGTATAAAAAAGAACGTGGTCCCTAGGTTAATAATTCCTACATTTGACCTCTCTAGTCTTAGTATTCTTTTTCCTCCTCCTACATGGTATTCCATCTTCTGTTTCTGTACCTTTGCACTGATCATTCTTATCACTCTGAATGCTTATTATTTCCTCTCTTTTGCCTAATAGAATGTGTTCTTTCCAGACTTAGCTTAGGTACCACATCTTTCTTTATGAAGTCATTCAAAGTGCTGTCAACTGCTAGTGTCCTCCCTCTTTAGCAATCTTATGTTTACTTATTTTATACTTTCTCTATATGTTTATTTTATGCATATGTCATTTCTACAATTGAAAATAAGTTCCTAAGAACAGAGACTGTCTTCCCCCCCCCCCATCTCTATCACCTAGCGTAGCGTTTGGCACCTAGCAGATACTTAATGCATAGTGGTTGGCTGATTTATTGATGTAACCATTCCAGTGAAACTGTTATTGTTCTGTACAGAATCTATTTCCCTGAGATTCATTTTGGAAACCTTGTGTGTTTAGTCTCTTATCTTGGTGCATGTAACACACGTGAAACTGATCAAACTTTCCGGTAGGGATGGTAGTGGTGGTGGCAGGTTTGTTTAATGCTTTAAGATTTTAGTAGTTCACAGAAACCATGTTTTGAGATTGTATATCAAAATGGGTTAGTACCATATAGTGGTACCTGCTTATTTTGGTACCGATGTTACTTTCATGACTGTAACCTGCCAACTATATAAAATAAAAGCAGTGTTTTTACCAACTGAAGAATAATTTTTCCTTTAAAGGTTATTTATAGGCTATGATGGCTACCAAAAAGAGTTATTTCTGTCTTTCTCTGGTGAGTCTTTTAGAAGGAACACTAGTGCAGTCATCCCATATGTATCGTCTGGGTAAAACTTTAAAGTTTTGTTACTGCTAACCAGACAAAAACAACATACAATACAGACATAGTGACCTCTAACAGTTATAGAATCAAATAGGATCATAGATTCAGAACTAGAAAGGACCTGGAGATCTGGTCCATCACTCTTAATTTTACGAATGCCAAAGCTGGGGCCCAGAGAGGTTAAGCTGTTTTCTCAAGGTCACTCCCAGGCGGAAGTAGCTGTTTGGATTTAAATCCAGTTTTTCTGTGGCCAAATTAAGTACTCTCTGTCACACCGTGTTAACAAATCTGTATTCTTTAAATGACCCAGACATGCAAGTATCATAGAAAAGCTACTCGTCAAAACTTCTTCCTGTCAAAGTATCAAAGATTGTAAATGTTTTTATCTCCTGTAAATTCATTGTTTTTTTTAAACTAATAAGGTTTTTAGACATGACTTTCATTTCTAAATATATTCTTCTCCACCTTTCCTACCCACCAATCTAACCCATGTAATAGAGAATAAAAGAGGAGAAAAATTTCAGCTAAGTTCTGAAATAAGCCAGGTTTGACAATATATGCACTGTACTATGACCATAGTTCCTATCTCTGGAAGGAAGGTGCGTGTTCTGGTCTCTTTTTCTGGGCCAGGCTTGGTCATTATAATTACATAGCATTTGGTTTCATTTCTAAATTAATTAATATGTTAATTGTTGGAGGTCACGTAGAACTCATTTTATATTTACTTCAGTTCATTTTAAAAGTCATGTGCCGTGCACCATGCTTTAGGGGTGTGGGTGGGTGTGCAGGTATACACATTGTGTTCTCTTCCTTCAATCACTCTGCTGCTGTTTTTGTTTGTCCTTTATTCTCAAAGAGTGCCAATGACATCAGCTTGGTTATGTCTTAAATTGCAAGTGAATATGATTTAAGCGAGTCAGAGCTGTCCAAAGTCATCAGTCCCCCTCTTTCCTTCTGAGTCATCTGAGTCCAGTGGCAAGATGTAGGTCAGGATGACTGATGATGGCCCCCTATAGGCGCTGGAGGAAGGACTTCTTTCACTTAGAACTTTCCTAGCAGTATCTTTCTTTCAGCAGTATTTTCTTCTGCTCTATCTTTGGTAGTTTATTGTGCTTATTATGTTGATATATGATATATGGCTAGTCTTTACTGTTTATAGAGCATAAAAAGAGATTCCAGGATACAAATCATGATATAGATAAGGATGGTGAATACATATAGTTTTTCTGGCCTCTTCTGAATTTACAGAATTAACTAGCTCCTACTCAGTACACCCTTTTTCTTTCTTTGAGGCTTTGCTTGTAGCTTTTTTCACATTGTTGTCTTCTCCTAAGTTTATGTTTAATCTTAACTGCCTCTGTATTAGCTTTCTGTGGTCAAGTTCTTTGTTGTTGTTTGCTCATTTCCCCGGTGTGTTTCTTCACTTTGAACTTTGTGTTAAAGTTGGGCTCTGCTCACTGGGCGTGGAGAGATACCGTGCCAAACTTCAGGATTTTTTGTGCTACTGTTTTCAGAGCTACTTCTGGGAGTCTGCAAGTTTTTGATACTTCCAACATGGTATTATCCTGGGAGAGGGGTGGTCACTGGTATTTACCCAGGTCCCCTGCAGCTGCTAGTGCTAGTGCTTCTTTTGGCCCTCCAACTATGACTAGGTCCCTTGCTCCCCTGTGACTGATGACATGCTCCTCTTGTTCCTTTAACTGTGATTGCTAATGGGCAATAGACTTGTAAGTCAGTGCCAGCTGCACCCAGGTACCAGCAGGGTCCCCTTTGATTTCTTTCTGACCAGTTGTCTGACCCCCTTACCATCTCTGGGCTGAGAGCTCTCATAGCTGCTGCTGCTGTTCTCCAAGGTCTGCTATTGGTGTTTTTGCCACTCTCTGGGCCTGCACTCACCCGTGTTGCTGACATTTTCTGTGGACTTCCTAGGTTGTCCTAGGCTGGAAAAATGTCTCTCTCTTACCTTTCCTTGGCTCTTTCAGTATTTCCTTTTTTGCTATGTCACCAGCTTATTTCTTTTCTTTTTTTGGGGGGGGGCAATTGGTGTTAAGTGACTTGCCCAGGGTCACACAGCTAGTGAGTGTCAAGTGTTTGGTCTGAGGCCAGATTTGAACTCAGGTCCTCCTGACTTCAGGGCTGGTGCTCTATCCACTGCACCACCTAGCTGCCCCTTAACTTATTACATTTTAAGTCACAATTATCTAAGATGTCTTTTACTCTTATTACTATAAAACCATTTAAAAATAAATTTTACCCTAATTCTCGTATGTTACCATTATTGGTCATATGTTGTAACCTACTCAAACTCATATTTCTTTCCTTTCTTCTTTCATTCAGTTATATGCAATTATGATTCTTTTAAAATCATGGTATCCTTTGCTTTCTACCTAGGTAGCATGAGCCAGGAGAATTGCACTGGTAAGAATTGAAGTATTCATCTAATTGTCCAAAAAAAATTAAAAGTGGCAAAAGTTCTCTGTATAGAATGTAGAGAAAAAATTCTCCTTATAGAACGTAGAGAGACAGAAGTGCTCATATTTTGCTGGTAGAATTGGAAATTGATACTCGTTTTGGGTAGTGGGCAGGAAGACAAAGCAGTAATCTCTCTGATTTAGGAAATCTCATCATTGTAGAGAATGGGAAAGAGCCTGCAGAAAATACTTAAAGGGTGGTTAGTGTAAATCCAGAAAAGACAAAGAGCATATTTGATTTCATCAGCAAGTCATGCTAGAGTAATTTTCTATTTTTGATAGGGTGGTAGATGTAATTTACCTCTATTTTTAGCCAAACATGTGACAAATGTGTCATGCAATTATCATGGAAAAGATGGAGATACGTGGTCAAAGTGATGCTTTGATGGATCTAGTACGATTTGAATGGCCATCTCCAAATATAGAGTGGTGTTATCTTTGACATCAGACTATTATTGATGGCTATTTTTTGTATCTTTACAGTCTGCTTTAGCATTCATTAGTTCAGTGATGTTCTAGATTTTATTACTCTTTCCTTGTTGATTTCTTGTTGATTAATTTATTTGCATATTTTGTCCCACCCTAGAGTGTAAGCATCTTGAAGGTAGAGATTGCTTTTCATTTTTGTGTCTCCAGTGCCTAATGTGTGCTGAGCAAAATTAAACTGAACTTGGAAAGCTACTCCCCAGTTGGGGTGACCCAAGAATTTGTGCTTGGTCCTGGAAGAGTTAACCTTTTAATATCAGCTATTTGGATCAAAACATGGACAACTACATTTAAATATAATTGATTTTCTTTGTAACACTATAATTTATTATGCATTTTAAAACAGTCTGAGAAGGGTCCATGGCCTTCACACACAACACACACACACACACACACACACACACACACACAACACACACACACACAATTAAAAACCTGCGCTGTAGAGACTGCTTTCTTATTTTCTTTTTCTAATTTTGATTTCTTTTGATATTTAAATTTTATCTTAGTGGTGAGGAAGTCCGCTAGGACAGATTTATATGGCTATACGTATTACCCATATTAATCTAGATTATTCAGTTTATTGAATTATATTTTATTTCATTGATGGTTTTAAAGGATTCTTAACTTTTTAATAGGTTTGGAAGGCATGACATTTGCCAAGGCTTGGTTGGATTTCTAACCAGAAAAAAAGCTATAATTGGACAGGATATTGACTTTCAATTCAGTAGGCATTTGCTGTGTGCCAGGCACCATGATCACTGTTTTGTTTTTTCTTCCAATTTCTTAGTTTGGAATTCACTGATTTTTGTTTTGTTTTTTAAATTCAAATGAACAGTTGGGTTTCTACTTTTGCCTTCTATACCATATTTTGTTGTGTTTGATGTTGAATGAGGAAAGGTGCTATAAGATCATTTATCATCCTTGGTTTTCCTTTTTAGTCCAACAAACATATTTGTTGGTAAAAAAAAAATTCTTCAGTTTATATTGAACAGAAATACAGTTAAATTGAGAAATAATTTATTATTACATGTTTTCTTCTCCCCAGGTCCTGGAGAAATATCCCAATACACCCATGAGCCATAAAGAAATTCTTCAAGTTATACAAAGGGAGGGATTAAAAGAAATCAGGTGAGTTATTTAGATAATGCCATTTAACTTGAACAAAGTATATAATAGTGTTTTCTAGGCATGGACTATGGATGGTCTTTTCAATGTTCCCTTACTCATCTTGTTGTTACAGATACCTCAGTAACTGGAGAAAACTGTTTTATTGAAGTACAGTAATGGTTATTTATGACAACTCTGAACAGTCAACAGAATATTATATTGTGTTTACTACAGTCTGTTCAGTATGGCAGAGAAGTCTGTAATGTATTTTTAAAAAACGAACTGTTAATGTATACCCCAGAGCTTCTTTCTCATGTAAGCCATCTTTTCTGTATAACTGATTTGTCAGGCCTGCTTCTAAAGAAATAAAATTTACCTTGGTTTTCATTTACTCTCAGTTTAAAAGTAATAAAAGCAGTCTGAAGTGCTGATTAACTTTCCTTCAAGTAGCATACGAATTCCTGGAAAATGATGTTTAAATTTTCATAGAATTAATATTTTAAAAGATTCTTATGACAAGTTTTTTTTTCCTTTTAAAGCAGTAACCCTTAATTTATGTGAATCTTCATAGATCAGAAAAACTTTTTGTACAGTTCGCTATTATGAAAAATACCAGTTTCAGACCTGGATAAATAAATGAGACAAGACAATAAATCTTACTGAATGAAACCATTTTCCTTCTTAATGGGGTTGTTTTCCTTATAGATTTAGGAGGAAGCAATAGATGTGATTGATCTTGATGTTGATGAAGCTTTTGTTTTAGTTCTCTATGACTTTATCAGATGATGGAGCATATGCTAGATCCGAGAATACTGACTTAAGCTTGTTACACTGTTTTCCCAAACAAATAGGAAAGGAGAAGAGAAATAAAAAGAATATAGGAAAGGTGACAAATATAGAGAAACTCAAGAGAAACAAAAAGATATAAGACAGTTATTTTGAAATATCGAAAATAGTTTTTCTGGTTAGTGACATTACTTCCGTGAATAGCTATTTCTGGTTTATACCATGCTGTTTTTCTGTTGGTTGAAGGGTCATCCTCAGAGAATAATTATGATTCATTTTACTATTGCCAGATCCCACACAGATAGTTCTGTGGAAAAGCAAAAGATTAAAGGGAGGATAGGATTTCTAGTTTTTTTAGATTTGTAGAAGCTGCCTTCTATAAGAAGGCAGAATTATTCAACTCTTCTTCCCCCCCCCCCTTCTCTACCAAAGATACGTTTCCTTTGTTCAAGGAGAGATATAGCAAAAATTTGGTACTGGAGCATAGAAATACCCAAGATAAGTAGGGGAAAGAAATCCAAGATATAAGTAGGGTTATTGTAAGAGAACCTCATTGCCTTTGAAGACTTCAGATACCCAGGTCCAGACAAACCACGTTGCAAAGTACTGAAAGAACTAACATTTATGATTACTGAGCTACTGTCAGTGACTTGTGAAAGAATTTGGAAAATGAGAGCAAAGAAGGTTAATTGTTGTCTACTTCCTGGATAGGGAGATAGGGAGAAAGAAATCTGCAAATCAGTGAACTTGATTTTTATACCTGGTGATTTAACATTTTTGGTTAATGACTAAAGGCACAGGTACGCAGAACAAGTAGAAGTTTTTAAGAGGCAAATTTAGACATTATTTAAAGGAAAAAATCCTAGCATTTAAAAAGCTGTCTGAAAGTGTAGTGGACTGCCTTCAGGTAACAAATCTTTCATACTAGATATTTTCAAGCAATTAACAACTTGTAGAGTCTCTTGTTTAGTTGTAGGTTGAATTAAGTGGTCCCCATGGTCTCTTCCAACACTGAGATTCTGTGATTTTCAGTGATGATCTCTAGATCTAGTAGTGTGACGTTTTTTAGAATGATTCACATGAAATACATTACTAGGTACATTATAAATTCCTGTTATCAAAGCTCTACTGAGCCCTTACTTGCAGAAACTTACTCTTTTTCCCCTGAATTGATTCCCAGTTTTTCTCCCCACAGAAGCTATACCAAACCTCCTCTTGCCTTTTCTAACCTTTACATATTTCTTTCTCCCCTTCTGTCAGCTGAGGACCTTACCTCTTACTTCAATGAAAAAAAAATTAAGGGCATTCAAGTGAACTCTCTTTGCACCCCTATTCTCTTCATCTCAGAACCCCTTGACATCGTCTTCCGCTCTCTTTTTCCAGATTGAATTGTCTCTGATGACAAAAAGAGCATTCTTGTCTGACACTGTGTATAATATCTTGTAGTAGTCTTTTAACTTTCAGTGATATATTTAGAGTTTGGTTTCTTTTGAGTGATCTGTTTCGTTGTCATTATTTTATATTTAATTTTACTTACATAGCTTTGCATCAGTCTTTACAAATCTTCCGTATTTCTCTGAATTCCTCCTATCTGTCATTTCTTTTTTCTTTTCTTTCTTTCTTTCTTTTTTTTTTATTTCTTAGGGACAGCTAGATGGATAGAGTGTCGGGCCTGGAGTCAGGTAGACTCATCTTCCTGAGTTCAAATCTGGCCTCAGATACTTATTAGTTGTGTGAACCTAGGCAAGTCACTTACCCCTGTTTGCTTCAGTTTCTTCATTAGTAGAATGAGCTGGACAAGAAATGGCAAACTACTCCAGTATCTTTGCCAAGAAAGCCTCAAATGGAGTCAGAAAGAGTCAGATATGACTGAAAACAACTGAACAACAACAGCAATTTCTTACTGCACAATAATATTCCATTACATTTATGCAACATAGTTTTTTCAATTGTTCCTTAATTTCTCTTTGACTTCCTTAAGATACACACACACACACACATGCGTGCGTGCTCGCAAGTACCCGAGAATAACATTTTTTGGTCAAAGGATATTGAAAATGGAGCTGTGTGTCTTGAAATCCACAATAATTGGACCACTTCGTGGTTCTACATAAACATACCCCGTAAATAAATGTGTGTATGTGTGTGTGTGTATGTCTGTCTGTCTGTCTCTCTCTCTCTCTCTCTCTCTCTCTCTCTCTCTCCCCCCATCTATCTCAATATCAGTGAGGAAGAGAAAGATCTTTGTGCCTGTTTTTTCATAGTAATTTCAAAACTGACTTTTCCTATCTTTCCCCGCAAGCCTCTGGTATCTTATTCACATGTCCATATTAAACTGTAATGTCCAGAACTGAACACAGTGCTCCAGATGGGTCTGATGAGAGCAGAGTACAGGACAATTATCACCATCCTGCTTTTGAAAGCTCTTTTAATGTAGTGCCAGATTTCATTAGCCTTTTTGGAAGCACATAATACTGCTGATTTGTGTTAAACATATACTTCACTAAACCCCCCAGATATTTTCTGCATTCAGAAACCCTCAGTAACACTTTAATGCCCATAGAATTAGCTTAAAATTTCCTTAGTCTGACATGCTAGTTTGCTATATAATCTAGTGTGTAATCAAAGAAGATTTCTTAGCTTTATGAGTTTAGGTTGCTGGAATAAAAGTGAGTATTAACAGAAATAGGCAAGTCAAGAGGAACAGCAGCCTTGGAGGGGTGTAGCATTTAAAATATAACAAAAGGGGAAACAGACCTTTATTTGAGCAATGTAACATTTCTTAACAGGGGCTTGCTGCCTGCCAATAAATGAAGTCAGTGGATTTCTTCCATTAATGTCAAAGACCCCAAGCAAAAGGACAGTTTCCCTTATAGAAGTTTTTGGGAATTACAGAACCAAGAACATAGCAGGGTAGATGAAACAAGGAATGGGGCAACATGATTGGTCACAAAGCTAAGGCACAAGGAACAACGTGACTGGTTAGAAGCTTGGTAATGATGGCTAGCAATGAGTGACTGCCCATGGGACTAAAATGTGCTTATTGTCTGAGTCTAGGTGTGAGATAGTGGGCTAGACAATTGGACACTAAACCAAACATATTTGCAAGATAGCTTGGTAGAAGAGCAGCTAGGTGCTGCAGTGGATAGAGCACGAGCCCTGAAGTCAGAAGGACCTGAGTTCAAATCCGGCCTGAGACCAAACACTTGACACTTACTAGCTGTGTGACCCTGGGCAAGTCACTTAACCCCAATTGCCTTAAAAAAAAAAAGATAGCTTGGTGGAGTAAAGATATCAAGCCTAAACTTCCTTGTGTTCACATGCATTGTCCAAGCCCAATTAAATTCCTTGAGGTAAGAAGAGCTGGATTTTCAAACTTGAACTCTGACGTTACAACACAGAAGCACTCACAGGACAAAATTAATTACTTCTAAATACGATCGATGAGAAAATGATACAAGATTAATCAGTCTTCTCAGGGAAGAGACATGCGTAAAAGAAAAGGGTTGTTTTAGACATTTTAAATTTTGCTTTATGTACTTACAATTAAAAAATTTGTGACTACTGTAGCATTAAGGGTGATAGTTCTTATCTTATCAAAATCTATTTTATATCAGTTTTATCATACCCTTGCAGAAGTAGAGGTAATGTGGCAGTTAGTTGGGAAACCCATGCAAATTAGCATAGGCACTGAGAACAGAATTATTTGATAAAATGTATTCAGCTCTAGTTTTGTGGTTTTAGCGCCATTGCTCTGTAGATGATATTGAAAGCTAGTGGTGAAAGAGTATAGAGCCACTACCATACTTTGCAAAACCACTCCTCGACTCAAGGTTGGGGTCCTTCAGGTAGAGCTCCACCCTTCTGCTATCCTTATAATTCACTCAGCTGTGGTTCAGTCACTGTGCTTCTCAGTTTTTCTAAGCTAGACTATGCTCTGCCTAGTTGGGAAGGATAAGAAGAAACTAAAAATTGGGCAAGATTAATAGACTGCCTAGGCAGAAACGAGAAACTAAAAAAGACTTGGGAACTGTTGCGCTCATTTGTAATTCAGAAAGTTGGCAATTGGTGCCTCCATTTGATATGAGTAACTAGATCTAGCAGAGCTTATTTGAATGCACGCTGCAGTCAACCTGCTTTTTTAAGGATTGTGTCAGTTGGTTAAGTATTTATTAAGGGTCTGTTTTTTCCTCCAGGCACTTCGCTAGGCAGTGGGGTTATAAATATCAGGAGTGAAACAATTCCTACTTGAAAAAGCTTATGTTCTAAAGGAAGAGACAACAGGGAAATGTTTACATATACATGGAAGAAATACAAATAAATATATAGAATGCGCAAGTTTATATTTGATTCTAGAGTTTATTGAGTAGAGGAGTGACATCAAATTTGTGCAGCAGTGTGGAAGATGTACTGAAGTACAGAAAGTGAGGGACACCAATTAAGAAGTTACTGAATTAATCTGGGGTGAGATGTGATATAGGCCTTGAACTAAGGTGGTAGTTTTGTGAGTGGAGAGACAGGGCCGGATGTGAAAGATATCGTGGATGTAGAAACTATAAGATTGACAACTGATTAGATATATGGAGTGAGGGGAAGTGAGGGGGTCTAAGATAATGCCAAGATTACAAATCTGGGCCACTAGAAGAATGGCCATACTTTTTCTTGAAATAGTGATTTGGGGGGGGGGGTTGGGGGAGAAAATGAGTTAAGTTTTAAGCATTATGATTTTAGATGATTCCAGAGTCATGGGCTTAAGTCTGTGAATCATCAACATAGAGATAGTATTTAAATCTGTAGATAACTAAGAGAAATAGTATACTGAGAGAAAAGTGGAGAGCCTAGAACAGAGAGTTGGGAGACTTAGTTGGGGTATCACCTAAATGATGAGGAGAGTGGGTAGACCAGTAGGAGAACTAGGAGAGTTTGATGCCATGAAAGGCTAGAAACTCGGAACAAGTGTCTAGGAAGACTGCAGTTCAAATCTGGCATTTGACACTTACTAGCTTTGTGGCCCTTTGCAAGTCACTTACCTCTTCTGCCTCAGTTTCCTTAACTATAAAGTGGGAAGAACAGTAATATTGTGAGGAACAAAAGAGATCATTTATATAAAGCATTTAGTTCGGTGCCTAGATTAATGAATGCTCATTTCCCCCCCAATCCTACCAACATATTTCATGTGATGTTACTTCCTTGGAACCATGCAACTCAGATATTTGATTACTTTTATCTAGAGAGAAAACAATATCCAAAGATGAAAAAACCAACAAGAATACAGATAACTTGAGAAGGATGAGAACTAGGGGGGGAAAAGAGACCATCAGATTTGGCAAATTGATCAATTGCATTTGAGCGATGAAACTGAAAGCTGATTACAGAGGTTTGAGGAAGGAATGAGAGGAGAGAAAGAGGAGGTAGCTAATGCAGACAACTTTTCTAGGAGGAGTTTGGCTAAGAAAGAGCAGATGTATGCAATGTGAGTTTAAGGGGATGGCAAGGTCTAGTGAAGATTCTTTTGGATGGGGCAGGGATGGTGGTGGTAGGAGATTGCATGATTAGCATGTGTTTGATGTATTTAGGTTTGCATTCTTAGCATCTAAGGGGCTATTTATTTCATCTTATCTGTTTTGGATATGCCCTCACCAGGTATGCCCTGGCTTTGGATAGATGGAGATAGCCTACTTAAC